CTTTTGGGTACTTCCTTAGAAACATACTACGGAGAAAGGGCATTCTGATCACTCAGTGGTAGTCAACAAGGTGTCTCCCCAGAGAGTGACTATTTTACTCGATGTGGTTCCTTGTCCTCCCTGAAACATGTTGAGCCAGTACCGGGTACTTACCAGCTCGTTTCCGGCCGCTGAGTTGTTTGTGAGCTTTCCGAACACTTGATTTTTGCACAAGCACTAACTCGACTTGATTCCTACAATTGCGTTTTTGGAGCCAGATTGCATCTAAACATGAGCAACAAATAACGATGTTTGATAACTTGTAGTACTGTCCCATCTCAGTTTGCAGGATTCTGTGTTTCCGTTTACATCAATCGTGTTACGCGTCGAGGATATCGAAATCCATTCGGCCCATGTGCGGACCGGTAGTTGGCTGAATCTCCTAGTGCCTGTCACGCCGTTTATACGTTTGCCTAAGGCCGATCAACAATGACTGAATAACAAGACTGCGGATCCTATGTAGTTGCATTATTTATTCGTAATGGAAACGCTCGACGGCATTCGTAAACCCAGCTTATCACCTTCGGCGCATGGCTCTTCCCTCCCGGTTTCCCACCTATAGAGTTTCCGTAATACCATTTCGGCACCGCTATCCGTTTCCCGATCCAAAACTGCGGGCTGTCGCGTCGGACGTGTGGCTTCACCACATCTTTAGCATCATTGGTGGGTGAATGCGCGGCAGATAGAACCAACGTACGAACTGTGAGTAGCTGACTGTGCTGTTGATTGCGTTTGATGTACTTTGCTCCTGGTTTAACGTACTTGTGGCATTGATTGTGCAAAGTCAAGTTTGAGACACACCGAATTCTGTCCATAACATACTTGTTCAGTTAGACGGCCCCATTGTATTGCTCTTCTAATAAGAGTTATGAGGCACAAAATAGAGTCATGAAAACATTTTAGTGTCACTCGTCGTAATCAGGCCACCCTTTTTCCGAAAAGAGCAACCTTAAGTATGGGACAGTATAACGAGTCTCACATTCTCATTCTTCCGCCTTTACGCATGCTCGCCTTTGTGGGAACCTTGTTGTTCATACTGTGTTGCTCCATGGTTGCAACATGGTTGCGCTTATTACTCCGATGATCCCTCTATTATTGTGACGTTGAATGACGATTACTGTTTATTCAGAGATTGGATTCCAAGTCATAACAGGTGAGTGTATGGAGCAACCTAGCTGGGATTTTAGCTCAGCTACCCTGTCAGTGCTTGTGGTCGGTATTGCTGAAGAAAGTTAATTTGGATGACGTATGACCGTTTGCAAAGGCTCGTAGGTGACAAAAAGTGATGATGGATTGCGGAGGAACGGCATGACGAAGATAGACTATCCGTTAGGCATCTGACTGCTTCCGTTTGCACGGTCGGTCGTCAGTCTTTCAGCGGAAGGCTCCGCTACAGAACTTGCGTTTTCAGATGGGTGTTGATGGGATCAGATGCATGGTTGTTTGGTTGGAAGCTGCAACCTGCTGATCTCAGGACAACTCGTCCGCCGGTCAGTGATGCGCATCTGGTGCTTTGAACAGATTAATTTGGATTCTTACTATAGCAGAATGTTGACTTATTCTTTCAGATTTTTCTATCTGACCTGACCATTAGTCTTCATGGTAGGACCAAACACATGTTACATCACGAGCCCATATTGATCATCTACCGCTATCTGAGGGCCAATGGTTTGTTAAGGTAGATAGTATGGGCACTCCAGATTAGCCAGATTGCCTGAATAGTCCGACCGCTGTTTGGAGCAACGAATCGCACTATCGAATCCGCATGTGCTTGTGTCGTTGTATGGTCCTGTCGTGACGCGGTGATTCATGCACCTCAGCAAGCTATTGAGCTCGCTGAGGTATGTTCATCTGGCATCCACAGAGTCCTTCCCACCAAGTTTATTAACTGGATAGGGATCTGATAAACAGTCTTCTGGCTGTACAGGTTGGAGGTTTAAGTCAATGTGGCAACTCATTCCTATAAAGTTGTTGCGGTAGCCTTACGTCAACTACTGCTATATTGTGATCAGGCTTTTAAGCGAAAGGTTTTGTTCGGAGACTGGTCTTAGCCCACACGCAACCGTTAACTGTCTGAACCTCAGTATTTTCATCCCGCGTCGACCGTCGCGTGGTGACAGCCTTTTGGTTGAATGTACTAGCCGGATGAGCGACTGCTGGTCCCTCTCATCTCCCCATTATTATCTCTTAGCTTCCTTTTCGCTCCATTTGGTGAGCTTTTTTCCTTAGAGCCCAGCTGTAGACACGGCGGGCGGATTGGCTCAGTGGCTTTGGCATGAATTTACTGACCGGAGGGTCCGTAGTTCGAACCCGACCTCCACATCTCGACTTCTGTCTAGGCTTGGGCATCCTTGCCATATCCCAGACCTCGTGCTTCCTTCGGGTGGTGTGGCAGGTAGGCGTCGAAAGGGTGCTTCATCTCAGCGATTTTTCTGGTGGGCTACCCGAAGCATGGCCAATCACGTATCACCATTCACTTTTACAGCTCCACTTTCAATAAAATATTTAATAAGATAATAATTATCACAACAATAGAATCATTGTTGTGAGGGGCCGCGAAACATGTGGTCACCGTCAAATTGAGTGTTGTGGGATCATCACGCTCTGCTGCTTAGGGTCCTTGCCCGTAATTAGCAACCCTACAAGACATGGCGTTTAACCTGTCTCTCCGACGAGCAATCTTTTACCTCTTAGTCGAACTGCCCATCTAAAGTTTGTGGTTGCACGGTGGGTTCGCTAGTCCAGACAATCTCACTCATGGCACCTTATGTATGACGCTGAAGTGCAAGTGCATTTGTCCCGCTACCGTCTATGGTCGTTTTCCATTGGCCATTAGTGTTTGGTGTTAGTACTCGCCTCTCCCATTCATTCCTTGCAGCACATTCCCATGGTCTACGGCAGTTGAGCACCAGTATTTTATATGTTCGGCTCGCTGAGTTTAGCCATTGATCTCCGGAGGCAGACGACCATCGCGGGTTCAGCATATCACTAGTTACTACTTTATGACACATGGAGTGTACTATGGCATCGTCATTTTCGAACGGAGGCCTTCTGGTGTGTTCCGCTTCTTGCTTACCATGGTTGAACTTGTGACAGGTTAGTTGTTAAGGCACGGACCGGAAGGTTCTTGATTGGAGCCCAATTTTCGTATCTCGACTTCTGTGTAGGCTTGGACAACCTGGCATTATCCAAGCTCGTGCTTTTTTCGAGTGACATGATGGCTAGTCACCGAAAGTGTTAAAGCTAAGGGATTATTTATTCACACCACAGAGAGGACCCATCCGGATAAACTTGCGTAGCCGCGCCATCAGCGAATATCTTATGTAATTCATGAATGTGACCCTCTATCCTATTCGGTCATGGCAGCAGGTGCCGTAGGGGTCTGGACAATCAGTGGTTCCGGTAGAAAACGTGATTCAGTAATAAGACCAACACAGTTCATTAATCGGGGCCATTGTGTTCGGTGCCTAGTAATCCGCTGTTATTCTCCACAATCCTTAGGCAAAAATGGCTAGGACCGCTGGCTTAAGTTCGGCAAGCATGAGTCTGGTGCATTGTAAGTCGTCGAACTTCGCACCACCCAAGCGTTTTGTCGATCGGCTACTAGGACAACACCCCCGTACCCGTGGGCAAATGTATCGGTATGGGGCTTATTCATTTCCCCAATCATATGTAACAGAGTTATGGCTTAATGGACGATAGTTGGAGTTACCTCAAACGATAACACATTCGGTGGTTTTGGAATCGTCATCAGGTACATGGCAGAGCGAATCTATGGGTAAGTGGTAGGAGGGGGTTTCAGTCGCGTGAGCTGAATGCGGATTCATCGTATCATTTAGTGATAGGTACATTCGTCGCACAGGCTCGAAGCCCATAAGTTCTTCGGTCACCGACGCTCAGTACCTTGTTTATCAATGTGCTGATCGGCGTGACAGATTCAGTTGGGCTTCGAGTGAATCCCCTTTTAAGGTTCTGCAACCGAATATGCATGACGAAGGCTCAATTAAGTTTCAACTGAGCCGATATTCAGGTATTTCTAGTCCACAACACTACACACTGTCTGAGACTGCATGATTTTCTGGAACGAGCCCTTCTACATTTTGTTCATTGGGAATCTGCGTACAGCTGTCGTATATCGCCAATGAAGAGACGTCAACCCGATTGGGACTTTTCAAAGACCCCCATGTCAAGCAAGAGAGTAAGCGATTTCAAAGGCCATGCTTACTGACGGAGGGCAAATACCATGCTCAGTTAAACAATGAACAAATTAAATCTACGAATTGACGCTTCACTTGCAGGTGGGAGAGGACGAAGACTGGCCTACTGAAAGTCGTATTGGACACGGTACCATGGATGATCGCATTGACATTGGAAAGAAGATAGAAGAATGTATGAGGGGTGACCTGGTGCTAGCCTCCTTCAAGCATTTCGCAACTCCAAGCGCTTAGCCAAGCAGCTGACAGCACGAATGCCACGACCAGGCGTCGGTCACGGTCAACTGTTGGGCGATCGGAATGTGCGGTTTTTGGGGCCGACCTCTAACCCGTCCTTCCTCGGAGTAGGGCATCATCGCTGTTTCCATAAATATAAACATGCTGGTCGCATGGGGGACGTCTCACTGCCTTCACACTCCTACCTCAGAGGGCAGTACGACTACATCTAGACCGTCTCGAAATACAATCATTCGTGGTACATGGACTCGCCGTTCTTCCTCGGGGTGCTCCTCGTTGTCTTTCCTGGCATGGTTGAACCTTCAGGAACTGAGTTCCAGCCAATATAGCCCGCAGGATCGTTGCAGCACAGTAGCTCGACCACCACGACAACGTGACAGTTTTAGGTCAGGCAATCTTAGGGTTCACCAGGTAGAAGTGGTCCCCGAGTTTCAATCGATTTTGTCTTCTGGAAAAACACCATATATTTGGTGTACATAAATTTTATGGAAACTCAAGAGCTAAACTTACCTGTTGTGTCCCAAAGTGTACGCAGCCGGTCGTAGGCTACCGAATAGTTTTCGGCAATGTGATTGATAGTTTGTTCCATAAAGTATCCTGTAATATCGTTTCAGAAGAGCTTGGTAAACAATCAGTAGTTTTTATTTGGGCAACGTAACGTTGGGCAACCCTGTAATATGTCGAATGTCGTGCTTCTGAAATGTCTGTAAGGTACATTCAGTTGCCGAGTATCACGAATGAGAAGTAAAGTTAATCTTCTATAGAGGAAACTGTCGGTAGGTCAGGTACCGTAGATGGTCGTTGGCTTGTTCGCTGAGCTGGGCAATTTGACTGCAAACGTTTCATCACTAAGCGAGGTGACATCATCCGTGCGTTATTGGGGAGCGTAGTTGTGCGTAGCGGTGGGTTACTGGTTGTGCCACCAGTTAGGTCTCTCGGTAGTACCAGCGTGATTTATAAACTAGTTTGTCTCCTCAAGTGTCGTCCTTCTTTCGTCCCTGAGGCGAAGTTTTTTGACATTGTCCCGACAAGATAACAAGTATTAAGACTTTCGGGCTTGGGAACTACCGACCGAGTTTAACAAAGATTTGGAAATGATTACTAGAACATCCAAGGTTGTGAATAAGTGTGTCCTAGACGGTTTTATGGATGCCAGTTCTCGTCTGCATATTTTTCGCACATTTTCGGGGTTTTAAAGAGGAATGTTACAAAACTGGCAAGTGAAACGTAGAGGGTAGCTGAAGTTGAGTTTTTATATGGAGTATTTTTCAGCCAGTGGATCCTAACCCACAAGGAAAAAAAACGTAGAATCCCGGAGGATCTTAGTGGGACTATGGAAGTTGCCAATTCCTGATTGCTGGGTCTGCAGGCCGTGTCTGGTCACAGTTTTCCAGAATTAAGCTTCCGCAGCACTGAAGGAGATAATTTCACAGACACGTGAAGGGGTGGGCTGAATAAATCGAAATTCCTGAATTTTCTAGGTATGCCTTTGATTCAACTGCAAAAATACTGATAAGCGCTTAAAGCTTGTAGGAAACATTCGGTGAACACCTGAATATTTCTTCGATGAGATGCACGTTTGTGGGAAAGGTGACCAGTGAGAACCGTTTAGCATATTCATTGCTTACAGACAGTGAAAGTTCAGGTGCGACCGTATCTCTCAAATGGTTCCTGTGTTTGCACTCTGGTTAGTTCGCTCTAGATTTTTATTGCTTTTGTATATCTGTTACCAATGCACGCCACCACAACGTGGTGCACTTGCGTGATAGTCATCAGATCACGTCTTTTACATAATTCCATGAGAAATTTCCTCCCCGGAACATCCTGAAATCAAACAAAGATTCTGTTTCAAGAAGAGATGCTCTGAAGCGACCAAGGGACGGTGGGTTAAATGCCTGAAAGCAAACCGCTGACCAAGAGAGACTATCCATATTCTCATTGTCTGGCGGCTCGGTTATTCCCTCGAATTTGTTTTAGTTGGGATCGGTGTTAAAATTTTTTATAAACGTTTTGACTCGTCCATATGGCGGCAGAATCAGAGCAACCTTGCTCAAAAATCGCACTCAGTTTGCATTTTTCCACAAAGATGTCAGTTGAAAACCTCATCGGATGTTTAACGTGCCTGCATCTTTAGTTTACATACGGCCAACTCCACTGGGACGGGCGTTGGATCGACATCTACGAGATTTCTGGTGACTTACTCAAGACTTCTAACAAGCCAACTTACCCTCATTCATGTAACAGTCATGAGGAAATAAAAATTGAGTCGGTGACCCTCCCAGAAACAGACTAACGTGTGTTTTGTTTGGCAGAATTCCATGGCCTTAGGTACCTGTCGCAGACTGTGAACCGACCGTGATTTCCACTACATGCAGAACGCTGACTAAGTTCAGGTATGCTGAAAGCCCTATTAAAACTTGAATGGTGTGACCATCGTTTTAGGAAAAGTTTGGGATACGTTGAATGGTTTTATTGGCGGGGCACTACTCACAAGATTGCTGTAACTTTTCGACAACCAGTGAGTAGTTTCGACTTTCTTTGGACTCACCAGGCACGAACTGTTTCCGATTTTCCATCAACCTTATGTTTTAGTTGGACCTGATTTATGTGCTGTTCGCGAAATGTACTCATTTATAAACTAACTTGGTTATGTAGAGAAAATACTATGAGGTGTCTCGAACATCGTAGCGAATAAAACACGAAGCGGTGTTTATGCGGTACATTCAGTTGAAAAATGCCATAAACGAGAGATTTACCTGAGTCTTCCGATTAATTGATAAGCAATCTTAGGTGAAGTGGGTTGACACGTTATAATGTACAACTGTCAATAAACGTGCAATCACCAGCAAAACTAGTATATAACTCCAGCCGACCAAAGTCCACGTAGTTCCTTCCTCTCATCAAACAACACTCATGAGAATTCTTCATGCAAAATGAACTAGAGTAACTAGTACCGGCCCGAATTCTAGCAAGTTTTCCCCAACCCATTCGTCTTTAACACTTGCTGACCTTTCACCAACGAACGAAGTCCATTGGCTGAAACCTGGCACTAATTTGGCCAGCTATTGGGAAGTTATCCTGGTGACTGATTTCCCTTCTGCCTCGAAAAACGATCAGACTTGTAACCTTGACTTCACGAAGCTTTTTTATCAAAGGCGAAAAGACGACTAGCAATAAGTCCACCGTTTGTTTTCCACACGTTTCCGAAAACAATGACTACTCATTCGGTTCTAAGCGTTTTCCATGCAGTGCTGTGCGTAACTAGTTATTAATGCCCATGCATAGTTATTCACACATACATAGATGTATGCCTATGCAAATCTATGGATACATGTACTTACTGAGCCATGATAAACCTATTTGGATTCTCCTACCAACATCCATATGCTGACCAGTATTTCATGCTCTTTCTCTTTTTCTTATGTAAGTGGTTTTACGCCTTGGAGTTGGTGACTTCGTAGTTAGTTCACGGGCTTTACGCCTTACCAGCTGACAGTCAGAGGCTTTTTCTGCGTTAGCCATGGACCGAACAGGCTCCCAAGAAAGACTGGGACTTGAAAGCGTTTCCGTCAGTTCAACTGAGCTAGTAATCATTCGAGAAGTCGGATCAACTCCCATGTCTTCGAGAATTGTTTTTTTTTCAGAATCCTGTTACGACCTTGAACAAAGCAAGAGAATTCGGTCGTAGTACAGGGTTCGTGAATTGGAGGGATGAAGAGTTTGACAATTGGTAGCAGTATTCACAGCCATTGAATCATTTCCACGGGGAAGTTCTTCAGATGCGGGGAGCACCCAAAAGCTTGCTAATGATGCCTCTCCGAATTGGGACGAAACGCCTGCAAATCAAGTGCCAGACAGGGTGAACAGATCGACAGCCATCTAACCAATTACCAAGGAGTACAGTGTACCTGAGATTTTATCTCTCAAATGCGGCAGACTTGCTGTTCTCTTCTGGAAGTTATTATACACAAATGTGATGCACTCGTCTTCCAAAGAGTACCATTAACTTTCACACTCTTTGGGGATAATCCACGCATCGAGATAAGACTTTCCTTTCCAGTTAGCTGTGACCTAGTATGAGAACCCACTAAAGGAGGCAGCTTCACTGCCTTCTCTACGCACTATCCAAGGAAGACCGTTAGTGCTTGGGGTACTCTCTCATTTTCACTTAAAACTGGGTTGACTTCTTTTTTGGTAACCTCATGTGGGGTGAATGATAGCAGGACTTCAACCCTATGGTTATCATTATCATCATCATTATCAGCTGCAAGAACCGCGTACCGTACTTGTCGTGCAGTGGTTATCGCTGCCACAGTTCGTTCACCGATGATTTAGGGAGGTTAAGTTGGTGGCTTCGCACTGGAGGCAAGAGCTGGTATAATTGATGCGTAAATACAGAGTTGTCAGTGAACTTTATAGTGGGGTGATTGGGAAGTGGCTTCGCCTGGAGGCAAAAACCGGTATAATTGATGCGTAAATACAGAGTTGTCAGTGAACTTTATAGTGGGGTGATTGGGAATGCATTGAAGGTAAAAGCTTGGATGCCATGCTTACGCTTATCATATGCGGCATCAAAATGTTTGTCTTGATCATGTCACCTCGCGTTCAAAGAAGAGGCAAAACTGACAGGATTTGTGAATATTTTAATAACTCATATATTGGGTGAGCCGATTCTACTGCCAACCCGAAGCTGTACTAAGATGTCCTATCCTTGATCCCATGATTTGAACCTATGAGCAGTCAAATGCAGCCAAACGATGACTCCGTGTGAAAAGCGTAATGCTCTATAGAACGTCATTCGCTTGACAGTTTTCGAAACTGCCCGCAAAATACTCGGCTTCATCGTGCTGTGTAGTACGTATCTAGAATCAGTTGAATCAGTGGCTCCAATTTCAGCTGAAGATCCTCCATCACCGAGAATTGCAGTGTCCCGTTATGTTGCTGACACAAAAGGTCGACCAAACTGATTGTGCCTCTGTGAATCTGGGCTCCGGCAACCTCAACAACAAGTTCGAACATTCCAGGAACAAACCGATTTCCGATGGACGCTTTATCAATCGCAATTGATAGCTGAGACTCCGATCGGGTGTCCTCAAATCGCTCTGCTTTACTCGCCACCAACGGTTCCAACAAGATCTGAAGACGGTTCAACCATTTTCTTCCTCTCTTGGGTGTGCGGTCTATGAGACCAAGTTTGTGCAGTCGACCTGGTGGCAGTTGTAGTTGGTAGGAAACGGACTGACGAGATTTACTGCTCCATCGAGAATCCCTAGATAAGAAACAACCGATTACAAAACAGTATCCATAGGTTTAGACTGCGACCGATATAAACTGAGTGGGAAATGCGAAAAAGCGGCATTTTAACAACGATGGCTACCGCTTACCTCGCTCAAAACGGCACAAATCATTTCCATGAAAAGTGCATCTCAAAAAAGTACAAGACATCGAAACGGGACAACCAGCCGATTGAGTGAACTACAAATGTTCGATGTTTTCAAACAGAGGAAGAAAAAGAGGTTCAAACTAGAGCAACATGAATTAAATTTGACATTTTTGTTTCGAGTGACAGTCCTCCAATATTTTGCATATTTTGTAGTAAAATAGCTTTGGATGCATAAACCCAGAAACCGGTAAAATTACAATTGATCTGGAGAAACGAATTACATTCCTCTAACAATGGTGCGAAGCCTTGTAAATCTCAAATAACTGAACATTCTAAAACCAGATCTACTGTTTGTTGAGTGGTGTATAGAACTCACCAGACTGTGTTTACAAGTGTTCGACATATGAGAGTCGCCCTTCATAGTTTGAACTCTAAGTTTAGTTGAAGGAAATTACCAACAGTTTCTGGCCGCTTTTAGACATAGGTGTTAAGTTTACGGAGATCTCATGTTTAAATCTTTCACTGCATCAAATGGAAGCGATGCGAGTACCCGACAGGAGTTATGACTATTTATTGAATACCGGATGTAAACATGCATTGGCTGCTTACATACACGTAACTGATAAGTTAGTTACATGGCATCAAACCAAACTGATTTGCAAATGAGTGTATTTCCCGAATACATGGCACCAGTTTATATTTCGCCCCATATGCCTACGAAGATTGCCAGATACCCCTTATGCATGTGAATGTACCATCAGTCCTTCGGCCAAGCTTAGTTTGTCCTCAAAACATATGTACCTTGTATTTACAACCAGTTATCCTATTTGGAAAAGAACAGCTACCAAAGCGCCTCCTCCCCTAAAGTCTGCGAAATAGTTTTTTCTGAAATATTTCTCTAACATCAAATTTTGATGAAACAGCGGTTCCTTTGTGCGTAATCAACCTCTTTTACTGATTTGAATATCACTGAATACGCTGTTGTTCCTTCACAGCCACGAGTCCAAATTAGGGTGAACTGCTCACGTGCAGAACGAAGGTTTTCCGCTGCATTGTTTTGGTATCCATCAGTCTACTAACCCTCTACCGGTCGAAGAATCTCATTCACGGTATTCGCCTTCTCTCAAAGCGGTAAACCAGGTAGGTTCCAATAAGACTGCCGTTTGCTCTGTGGGTGTCCTCATTTGGCTGCTCACGAACTTGCATAACGCGAACGTTTCAGCGAACTACTTAACTGACAGTAATTCGGGAGCGTAAATGCACGTAGTTTAATGTTGGCTCCGTGAAAAGAGAACTCATTTACGATGAGGGTCAGGTAATTGAGTACAACGGCACGACAAATCAGACAAGAAGTCACTCACTAGGTTAGAAATACCAATGAGAGCAAGTGGCACATCGTTCAACAGGAGACGATATGAATGAGGAGCCGGGAAAACCTTGGATATTGATGAATACATTCGAGGTTCCAAATGGTCATATTAATTTTCAACCACACTGAAGGTTGCCACTAGCAGCAGACACATTCGAAGGTATCGGTAAGGTGGACGCTCGCACTGCGAAACATTACTAAGGAGCGATTAAGCTAATCTTTGAGACTCTTCAGTCAGCTCGCTTCGAATTTCAAACAGGTGGTGTTGTAGAGTAGAAAACATAGACAAAATGGTTACTCTGTAACAATTTCCAATGCAACCTTCACTCTGTTGAACAGGAATCCGTCAATAAATCGTTAAATAGTACGTCTTAGTGTTGAGCTGGACTGTTTTGACGAGTGTTGTAACACTCTAAGACGAATCACTCGTAATTCATTTGGCAGTAATACAAATTTCATTAAGTCTTCCTCTTTATGTCGGAGTGCATGATTCTGGAGGGATAACTTCCCGCCGGCCACCCACGAGGTTTATCCATAGTAGAAAGGCACCCTGCATCTGTTTTGTAGGAATTTACGCGGAGCACTGAACGGAGTTCTATTAAATGTGTGAAACAGTTATTATAATCTCACTACCATGTACTGCTAGGCAGAGAATTCGTCACGAAAGATGAAATAAATTTTTGGCGTTTTTCATGGAAACATTAAAATTACCTCTAGGAATATCTTCCTCATGGTTTGAATGATTAGGAGTAGATTCTAACTGTGTTGGGTTCATAGACCTTATTGCATATCCTCTGTTTCCAAAGATAAATAGGTTAGGCTTTTCCCAGTGTAACTCATCTATGAAGCACGGTGGCATCTGACCGCACGCACCAGGCGTTACGAAGAATAGATCTCTGAACAGGAACACGAATGACCGGCTCTTTACAGTGAACATAGACACTGATTATAAGGGCGCGTGAGTGAATTAGAATACCAGGCAGAAGGCTGTGAAATGTCAAACGTTTAAGGTCAGAAATTATATCGGCGAGCAGCAATGTGATTGGGCATCAAAAGGCCGTGGACCGGCGCAGGAACGAAAAACATCATCACTGACGGTGACACCAGTGTTGGAATGCTGGTGCTTTACTGTCACACAATCACGTCAATGATTCTGAAAGAAGCCCCGATGCATGGATGCAAGGGATAAAGGAACAGATTCAATTTTAGCCCAGCGCAAGCCTACTGGGCGCCTACATTTCCAACCCTCAGTCGGAAAATCTGGACGTAGCTTGGCGACACGAACGTCCTCAGCCTGAGTCTCTAGTCAGTGACAAGGCAAAGCCCTGATGTAGACACCGAACGAGGAGGTTCAGAGTTACAGAATATAAATGCATCGTCACCTTGCAGATGCAGATGGGACAGTCACGTAAACTGAATACTTGTTCCAGATTCATCATTAGCATCGTCATCATTATCAGCTTTAAGAACCGCGTACTTGTCGTACAGCGATTGTAGCTGCCGTAGTTTCATTTACCGATGATTTAGGGGGGTGGGTAGGTAGCTGCGCACTGAAGACGGGAAGGCGCGACTGGACCATATCTGATAGTGTCTAACCATTGATGTGGCTCGTCTCGAGGTCCCCATCCAGGAAAACGGCAGTCACCAGCGCAACTGAGTTTGCTGGTAGTGGCTTTTATTCTTCGCTGCCAGATCATTGTTTGACCTCTACTGGCTCGTGTCCACCTTTCGTGTGGTTGCACGAAAAGAGCCCACCAGGAAGTCAGTCCCAGATTAAAGATAGAGCGACCACTCCGTCACAGTTAGCTGCCGATGGAGTGTAAGTGATTGTCACTAGCGCGTCTAAAACTCAAGGAATTTTCAGCTGGCCGCACCAATATTGCCATGCAGTTTTAGGGTTCAAGTGCTCCGGAAACGCAACGATTCTGATCAAATTTCTGTAAGATAAAGCTGAAGGTACAATCCCTCTGCGAACGCTACTGGATGTCCCAATGTCAGAGCTATTGAACTGCACCATGGTGTCTTCGTTGGATTCAACTAGATGATAAATAGACTCCTTTACTCTTGGGACAGCCTCGATTTTTCTCCGGGATTCTCTGATGTCGACGCTGTGAGCATTCTACTATGAGCAGCCTAGCTGCACCTCATAGTCATGTGCGCCTGAAAAATCTTCGTAGGATAGGAAGAATTGAACTAGTAGCCCAAAAAACGTGACTGAAACTCTTTACTCATACTTTTAGACAATGAGTCATCTTCGAACTAATGGAGAACAACATCCGAAAAAGTCGTCACACATGCAGTCAGTCAAGTAAGTTCCAACAAGCATTACGGCACTTTTATAGAAAAGCACTATAAGAGTGCGCATTACAAGCTCTGATTGTTTTCCTCCTCCGCTGTGTGCCAGCAACATCCAGTTTATGAAAAAGGCTAATAATGTCACATTACTTGACGAACGATACCTCCATCAGTAGATACACCACAGCAGAGAGAAAGCTGCATCACCATTAATAATATTTACAACTTGAATTTGTATTGATTGGCTTTCATTTATGTTAAGCCTGACGAGAAAACCCCCATGTTTTGTAGAGTAGATTGTCGGGGCTGATGAATGCTAGACAGTTTTAATATACTGTGGTTGTATGTAAGTGTTTCGAACATCTGGAGAGTTCCCTGCAGACTAAGTGAAAAATGCAACCATTGTAACGGTGAATACTAATGATGAGGCATGCAAGGAATATGTTTTCTCGTAAATCCACTTCACGTATTTTGAAAAACTGGATTTATTACGGAATTTGTGGAATTGCTTTTTAGCATTTGTTTACATTTGAGTGATAGGCAATGAATATTCAGGAATGTTCAGGAAGACGCATTCGAAAAGAAAACGGATATTCAGTTTTTATAAACAAGATTCATATGAGAGTTTTGCTAGTCTGTAACTTTTCAGTTGGTGTTTTCCAATAAATAACACCGCAGCAAAGGCCTTCTTCCTTTCACCATAACCTCAAGAATGCTGTTAAAACACAGGTAAAATTTTGTACGAACTGTCAGAAACCATGTGATACATCACCCCTATGACACATTCGTCGCACTCCCCTACTCTCAATCCTGTGCTATCTTTACAGCTTGAATTAGCCTATTTTCGTCAAACTACACGTAACCAAAAATTGAAAGCCTCACCACGGTGGCAGTGTTTGTGTCAGGACGCACCCAGACGTGGAAGAAGGACATGTGCAGAGAATGACGCATTCCCAAGTTCATCATTGGTACTACACGTTTCGAATAGCAGGTGAGTTGGCGGAGCTCACCAAACATGGCTTAGCAACATACGACCAGCTGCTGAAAGTGTTCACAACCGGGACACCGCCATTGGCTGTACAGAAGGAACAAGTGAATGACCATGATTGGCCATTTAGTTATCATATATATTTACGTAGGAGCTCTGTATGTTTTGTCCTGACAATACAGCCGTGTCCCGAGTTCTCTGTCTTCTGCTCATCTGTTTGACAGGCTCAGTGCAGGCGTACCCAGCAGACGGCCACTCTCGATAAAACTGTTCGCTTGAATTTACTTCTGTCTGCGTCTCATCTACCAACATTCCGGTCATCCCAGCGCCTCCACCGTAGCTTTGCATAACGGCTCTTACTGACCGAGGGTAGCAGTTAACCAGCATGTTAAACGAAATCACGCTAACAAGAGCTATTATTCACCCAGGAGAAGTGGTTCTGAGACTTCCAAAACTTCGGTGGATGCGGCATACGCTCTAGAAAAGACGATGATGAGGTAGAACTGCGAACAGGATTTGCGGCTGAAAGACAGGTTGACAAAAACAAGTCACAATAAAGATTTATACACGGTGATCTTTGCCAAGACTGCCCTAAAATTAATCACGTAATGTATGTTAGTTCCAGTTTCGGAAAGTAGGAAGGCAGGGGTTGGCGTGCATTGGAATAAGGTATTAGTTTACACATTACTTGGCGATATAGGAATCGAAAAGCGCGACAAGCGAATTCCGAATTAACTTTAGGAGAACAGAACCAAAACCACAGGTGTATGTAGAGTGTGGGCCTCATCTTCCACAACACAGTTACAACATTACGTGGACCTGAAGGGTGAGAATATATGGAGAAGGGAAGGTCCAGTGATTTCGGGGCTGTCAGTTTTGAGTCGTGGACGAAATAAAGATTGTTGTTGTTACAGACGAAGCCAATAGAAGTGTCGCTTACGGAGCATAACTGAGTGTACTTCACCGAACCAAATGTGTCAACTGACAATTCCGTCTAGAATTGTGGAACATCCATTTCTCGCTCAAATTACTGAAGATCCGTCAGTAGTTTAAAAACGAAGGGCCATTTCAACTTCGCGCCGCCGTAAGCCCGTCATATTCCACTCTTGAGGACGGCACCATGACCTTAAGCTTTAGGGATAGAAGTACGTCTGCTTTGAGCTGACGTCAATGTGCATACCTTCCAGGCCCTAAAGCGGTAGTCGATTTGTAAGCCAGATGATCACGCTAACGATCCCATCTGATGTATCCCAAGACGATGGAAAGCCCTCGTTTGAATGGTTTTCTTTGGATCCGGTCACAGGTAAATTGTAATAGGAGTCAATCGAAAGTACTCATATAAGCAATAATGCGTTATCTTTGTGCTGCATACACTTCCGCTTTTACATCTTTCCTTCTGGAGGGGACTGGTAATAACTTTGAACGGCAAATGCCAGTTGTTCGGGGCGGCCCGAAACCACGTGAGATGTATTCCGCTGATGCAACAAACAGCGTAACCCTTTCGACTAGGTGGAAGTATAAAAACCGGACAAAATACTGGATTTTTCGACAAGCACACTTACCGTGGTGGATTCGTTGATCTGTTCAGTGGAACAAGACAGTCAAGTGCATGAGCTGCATAAATAGTAGCTTGCTGGTCCAGTAATTGCGCCTCCGCGTTGATTTTCGCATCAATATTTTTCAACTGAATGCACAGCTTGTCCCATTCCGAAGACTGACACGCTGCACGCAAGTGACAAATATCTCTGGCTAGTGCCACCAGCAGCTCCTTTTGTCAAGAAAGAGGCATACGTGTGTTTAGGTTACACGCGTGTGTCTACTTTGCTACAGCATTATTAAAGGATTTTAAATCAGATGTATGCAACTACACAGGGTCTGATGTTTCTGTTGCCACGGCAACCTTTTTCAACGACCTCTACATTCAATATAATACGAGTCAAGTGCAGCGTTATTGGGATCCGCCATAGTATCTTCTGATTAGTGCGTTCTTGAGATCTGTTGGCAGTCAGATGTGACCAGCGTGTGTGGATGTGTGTGAGCTAACTATTAGCATTCTGTTCGCTCTCAATTTCCATTTCGCATTCTTATACTATTGCATTTTCCATGCAGTCACTTAAGAGTGCCTTATCGTCTTCTAGCTGACATGATCTCAAATATTTCGTCAACGTATCTCAGCCAGGTACATGGTAGGTGGACTGGATACTGGCGTGACTGTATTTTGAAAGCGACCTAAAATTTCTGACAGGATTTCAATGCCTCTGAATACCAACATAATATCAGACTGTTATTTTGTTAGCTTTGTGCTCATTTACCTTCTACTACGAAAAAATCTTTTGGTGTGGTTTTCAGTACACTGTTAAGCGAATACGGATCACACACCAAAACGCTGTGACCAAGGTTTCCGTCAAAAATTAGTCAGTCCGCTTTTGTTGATCAAAGGTGATTTAGCTGGTTACGTGTACAAGGACATTCGCAAGCTCTTTGCATCGAGTGGTAACATACCTCAAATGATGGGTACAATTGGACTGTCCTCTGTTCTGCTCAACTGTACGTTACTCTGCTCTGCTGTACTCGACTGTACTCTGATCCACTCTACTCTACTCCACCCTACTCTACTTTACTCCACTATACTCTACTCTACTCGAATACACTACATCGTACTCCGACGTACTGTGCTACAATAATATACCGTATGTACAATATCATGTTGCATACTTACATTATATCCATCCGTTTTTGAAAGGAATCCTGTCGCACAGAGGCGATTGATCACATGCTTCAACGTTGAAAACCGTGCCTGAATATCAAGCAAATAGTTTCTTTGTGCAGCTGTGTCGCCCTGTTTGATAAAACGTGAATTGTCCCGATCATCAATCGATAAGGACTGCAGGAAATCTTTTGGCTTCTTTTCCCGAGATAGTTGTTCCAAGGACCTTGCAATACGCCTCTCCGCCGCCTGGATCCAGTCGAACAGTGTGACATAGTTTTGTGGCAGGGGTAATGTGCAACTGGGACTTAACTTTTCTTCGTGAAGGAGAAAGATGGGAAGCGTAGCTACTTAGCAAAGGGCGCTCTAATTTTTTACTTCGAGAAGAAAGTGATGGATGGACAAATGCGTGTGCCAAATCGGTTAAGTTCATGTGCCGGTTACAAGTTCTGTATTTTAGGTCCGAGAGACCTGCATATGTAGTGAAATAAAGTAGTCTCTGTTTTTGGAAAGCCTATTAAGTAAACATGCTTTTACTTCAAACCGTCATTGATGTTTATAGACCACAGTGACGAATGTTACTTTAAAACGTTTCATTACCTGTGGTGGTGATGATGATGACTGCTGTGACGGCACTTACTAAATCTTACTAAATCTTAACGGTGATTTTTTATAATGAGAAAGGGGATCACACTGTTAGTATTGCGTAGATACTCTCAAATTCCAACAGTGAAGAAAACACAAAAAACTTTGTACCTGGTCGCACTGCGGTTCTAAGAAGAAATCCGAGTAATCTTCTGGCCTCAAGCCAGTCGAAAGTGCTGATATTTGGCGCGTCGTCCAAATTAGTTGGCTTCTGATGAGGCTTCAGTGTGTGATCCGGAGCTACCTGGTCTCCTGCACTGACCAGGCTTGCTGTGAGATATTGAGATCGAAGGACCAACTCGGACTCACAAGTCAAACATGGTTTTTTGATAGGATCATCATCCTCATTTGGCCAATAAATATGACAAGGTCGTACTGGCATTGGTGGGCAATCGGTCGAGCGCAAATAGGCCACCGACACACCATAAAGACAGCCCAGTAACACGTGTTCTTTGTTGGCTGGTACCAGAGGGATCAGTAGTAGTTGAGAGCTATGTATTGCCTGGAAGCCAAAAGTTGCATCTGTATCCTCACAGGAAGATCGGAACTGGTAATACACGTCACTGCTTGGAACGAACCTGTCGGAACTTTTATCAGAGGGTGCTTGTTCTGAGTTGTTGTGTTCTATTTGCTCGCAGAGTGACTAGGATAAGAAATGAAAAGTAATACTGTCAAATGCATCGAATTAGCCTTGCGTGTCATTGATCCATTCTTCCAGACTGTAAATAAGGGACACAATGTCAGCAGTTAACATTTAGGCCAGGGTACATACACCCACAGATTCTCGACGAAAAAAGTTGGTAAGCTTTAACACAAAAGCACCTAATTAATCACGTGAATTTCGTAGAGTCTTTGAAGAAATGACACATTGTTGGGACCAGAATTTTAGCGCACTGTTTTGATCAACACGGATGGTGATACCAGCTAATCGAAACTGACTGGAGCAAATTTGATTCAAGTGGATGTTGTAGATAAGCCAAGGCCAGATAGTAGATAGATGCTTTTCGTCGTTCATGTTCATTCGCAGTATTTGAGATCGAGAGTGATAGTGCCCTTAAAGTTCAGCCAGCCAGAATGGCGGCGAAACCCTCAACCAAGTTCAGGGCTTTTCTCTTGCGTCTAAACCGGGATGTCTCACCGTTTTCATTCAGAATTGAACATCAAACTACACTGTCCCTGCGAGATGGGAACTCACGTTTAATCGGTTGCAGGTGTGATCCACAACTGCGGCATTTGTCGCAAGGACATGGGCGTTTTCTGAATAATTTTTATGAGAGGTCAAAGGAAACTGTATCTGTAATGAAGTCTTGGATATCGACCTGGTTCGCGTTCGTACAGGACGACTGAGGAAATTCTGTTGCGTTGCGGGGCAGTGGTCCATGTGGGAATATCTGGATTTATATTTTTTCGCCGATTTTATCCACTGCTTTTGAATGCACGATTCACTTTACTCAGATCGCCCTCTGATATCCGGGCCATCACGATGAACTGAAGGACATGTTTCTAGAGTTATATTTCTAAGTTATATTTTTACTATGGATCTAGCTGACTCACAGGAATGCACCAGCTCAACGTTTGATTTTGCTCATACTTGGTGGTACAACCACGGTTCTGAGGTTCACTTGTTACCTCTTCTGCGGATGCAGTGATTAAATAGGAATATTCGGTGCAAACGAGCTTTCTCTACTATCAGTGAGATATTTGGGTAACTGGCGAGTGGTCTTATGCTGTCAGAGAGTGGGGCTGAATATGCAACCAAATGTAACTGTTGACGTGTGGTTTGCTTGAACGACGGAGTCCGAAGACATGCAGGTTGCCTTCAGTACAAGCATGTTTTAACACCTAAAGTCCAGATCTGCAACGCTCAGATTGAATGTCAGAACCTCCCAGTTTTATGAGGTCCAAATTGCGTTGAACCTTGTGGACTTGTGCCCCGTAAAGTGTCCTGTAGTCTACAGGACATTAATATGAAGGCCGAGGTTTGCGATGGGTAGTGAACTTGTGCATTAATCAGGCGGAGCAGATATTTCAGATTTCGCCAGAAAGACTGCGAAAGCACTTCATTTATTTAGAAGTATATTCGCGGAAACCAGTTCAATACCCAACGTTAGTGAGAACAGTCCTGGTTGTCCCTTGCGAAGTGGAAAAATTGACATTAGGTTTTTTCAACACCAAAAGGGAGGAAATTAATAAAACTTTACCATCGAACCTTATATACTTGTTGAGTTGGAATGAAAAGTTCAGTCCACTGAAATCCGGGTGGAGTATTTTCTTCACCAGCTGTTTCCCTTGGCTACACACAGAGCATCGCTTTGTCGCTTCGATTAGCTCAAATCTGCTTTCGGTTAACTACCGGCGTGCTAGTGTGTTTTCACCATTCCAATACTGTGCGTAGCTAGTTGTGCACGAATGCGCTGGTGTTGGTTCACTGACGACACCCTGACACTTAGACAACTGTTCGTTCATTCGGTTCAGTAAAAGTAACCTTAATTTTCTGCTCGTCCTATTTTGTCCTTTTTAGTTGTTCGCTGTGTTTTTGATTTACAAATGTCATTTGGGGTCTTGTTTCTGGATGTTTAGGCGTTAGATTCACAGCGTCAATTCAATAGGTGACTCGATAGACAGAATAGTTTTGCTGACACTGACGTGATGCATATCCTCCAATTCATTCATTCTTTTGCAAGATGAAATTCAAAGTTTAAACACAGAGGAAATGTGAATGCGAAATATCTGAAACATTTGAATTCCACGGTTTGAAGCGCCGCAATATGTGAAGGAAGTGGAACGGCGCTCTGTTGTGGATAGTGAACAAAGGTTCCACATTAGTATTCATCGCAGTGCGCGCAGATTACACAGGCTCTTTAGGTGATAAATTATTAACATAATTTTGCCCAACAGAGGGGCGAAATGTGGGTCCGTTGGACTGTTCCATACAGAGATGTCACTTGTTTGTAAAACTGAGGCTTTCTATTACCACTACCCAGCCGTACGGACTACAGAGCAGGGACATGATGGTTTGTTCTACTATCTATTGCGCCTGTCACATTTGGTCATGTTCAGATGTCTTTGAACTTCCAAATGCGGGGGTCATTTGAGTCCGCCGCCAGAATGTCCTGTCTACCCCCCAAGCATTAGTGAGTTCGCAAGTTTAAGGTATATGGCAGAATAGGGCAAGTGTTGTTTCGTTCAACGCGCATGTCTCTGGTATTCTGCGAATCCTCATCATTCTTTTTTCACCGAATCTGTTACTTAGCTCGGAAATCCAGAAATAAGGAAACCCAGAATAAAGAAGCACCTCGAAGGCTTGCCCAGATCGCTAAGCGTATTATTTATGGCTCTCGGTGTCAACGCTAGAATCGGTTATTTTTGTGCACTCACCTGGGTTTCAAAACAGCTAGGAGATGACAATTTGTCATGCAAACTTCGGGCCGACTGAGGTGACACTTCAGAAAGTTCACTGTCCTCATCACAATAGCGCCAGAACTCGCGACTGCTGCTACTTGAGGCACTTTGTTTGGTTAGTATCATTCGTGGTGGTACGGGCCCGAGTTGGCGAAGTACTGTGTGAAGCTGGTCTGACGGATGGGGGGCTATCACGTCTTCGTAGCGTAGCAAGAGCTTGTGAAGCTCAGTGAGTTCCTTAAAGCGACGAGAGTATACAGATACTGAATAGGAGCCTGCATAGCAATTTGAAGAAATTTACACAGATGTACCAAACTAAAGAATGTGTTATCCATCTATTAGCTGAAGCTTTTGTGTGACGTAACCTACTCACTATTTTTGTTGAGAGGCAAATGGTTTTATTTTGTCTTCTCTTAGCAGTGAGAAACCTTCAGTATCCCTTCCAAGCTGGTTCTACCAGTGCATGGAAATGGGTGTTGCAGTGACCAATACAAGGTGTAACTGGTTTACTTAGTTGCATTTACCACGTTTTGCTCGACGGTATGGAGATAAAATTAAGACGTGGTTGTAAGATTCGTGGTTCTGAATCAGCACTTGATTCAATAGCTCAACCTTAGTGCTAAATTTGGGTTGCATTCTATCCCTGCTCCAAGCGTGAGCTATATTTTAATCATTATTTGTGCAATTATTATTGTGCTTTATTATTGTCCTCATTAGTAGTGGGTTTCACAATATCGATGGTCCATCTCGGCAATGGATGTGTGGTGAGCTGTGGCTTCAACCGAAAAATGTAGGTATTGGACATAACAAACAGTAGAAATAGAAGGATGGAAGGATAAATCGGACATAAATGATGGAGTGAATCAACTGACGTGAGATAAATTCGCAGTACGTATTTCAATTCCAGCCTAGTTAGGAGCGTTCAGAGGAAGACGGAAAATTCAACTTCGCTAATCATAGCCCCTTTTCACAACCTAGCAGTTCCACGAAACAAACACTCCTAGGAGAAGCACCTGCTGAGGGCAGAAAAATTGATGACGCGTGGTGTTACTGTTGGCATTGAGAACAACATGGTTGGGATTCACATTAGAACATCGCCATCTTCCCTTAAATGGACCTAGCTTTGGGATATTTAGTTTAGTTTCAGGTTACATTCAGACTCTACTTTTTCCCTAATATTGATGGACTTAATTCAGAATTACTGTCGGTTATCCGTGTCATATAAACCTTAATGAAGTATTTTCACCCGTAACTTAGTGATCAGTGTGTGCGCCGCTTCTTTAAAGCCCACAAAAAACCATTGTTTAGTTAACAGCATATTTTGTCCTGGCAGCTATTTCTTCGGTACTAGGCACAACCGTGAGTCCCGTGCTACTCTATCCCCAGTTTTAATACATTTCTAAAGCTTGAGAAAAATCGGAATGAGATCTGGCTGCTTAGTTTTGAATCAGGCAACTCAGGTTTCTGATAGCTGTAGCCCAGTATTGAGGGTTTTCCACAGGCAGAAGGTTGGAGCTGCAGGTACCCGGAGGGTTCGTGCGATTGGGAAGAAGTTGGCAGCTGAATGAATACAACTTACACTAACTGCTCGCGTCAGGGCTCAATAGGATTAGCACTTGTATTCATTGAAGCGTGTTGCCTTTCATAACAGATTTTCTGGGATCGAAAATCTATTTGAAATAATTTGCAGAAAAAGCGCTCGACTAAAAAATGGACCGTTGCAAAATCTAGTTGAATTCCACATCCTTTTTAGACGGAGGAGTTTATGCCTATGGAATGCGCCAGTTTTCGAAAGCCGACCCTCTTTAGTAAATCTAGTCTCACTTGGCCCGTCAAATTGTTTTCCCCTTCTTAGTTCTGTTCTGACGTCAACGTCAACGTTAACTCTTCTTATTCCACTGTCCAAACGGACAACGCTTAATCATGACGACTCGGTGCTTACCAAACTCTTGAAACACAAACACCAGCACGCCTGGGAATATATTAGTGATTCCTCGAATTTCGTTTACGATTGTTACGCCTGAGTACCATTAGGTTATTGCATTCCCAACTTGAAGTCACTCAAAACAAAGCATCTCAGTTGAAATGGGTCCAAAAAAGAAATAACGTTTCCATTCATTATTGTTGACGAATTTTCAGACAACATCGATGCATCGGCCAGTTGTAGCCGGTTGACGAAAGCATCTGTAGAGTCATAATGTTAGTCCTTGTTGCATTATTGATGACGTAACAGTAATTGTACTACGATCTGACAGGCTAAATTTAGCAAACACCTCACTTTTCATCCGATGACGTCAGTCGAGTACGTTAAGATGTCGCCTCAATTATCTCATCCACTGGCGTAGGCTAGTAGGTTGCCCAGGATCAGTCCGTCCTGAGCAGGCACTCAGATGTGAACTGTTCAGCCCTGTTTGACCGACAAAGTAAGAGAGCTGGTGTGTTTCTTTCTGAACTGGAACCAGCCTGGCTCACATACCTTTGTGGCATGCACCAGTAGATTAGCCGGTATCCCGAGCACGGGCTACAAAAGGAACGGGGAATTTTGAACGCCCCAATTGACTGAAAAAGGCTGACCTAGTTGATTAATCACTGACGCAGGTAAGTTAATAGAGATCAGTAGCAAAGCCAGAATAATATCAACGTTAGTCTCAATGCGGCGTGCTGGCAAGTCGGGCGTATGCTTTATCAGAGAAAATCGAAAATCGACTAGGCTGGAATGTCATTCCGAAAATTTTCGCCATCAGAGTACACAAGAAGACTAAATGGGGCCACGTCAAATATCGTAATAGTTGCAGTCTCAGTTGGGTGGATAAGTCTCAGTGAGCTTGAATTCCAGCAGTCAAAAAACGTGTCTTTAACTGGCGTTTCTAAAATCCCGGAATGTAAGGAATGATGAAAAGTGGAATGTGAAAGAAACTCCGAGGCGGTTTTTGGTAATTCGGCCGGAAAAGAAGTTGGTAAAAATGGGTGGCTTCAGAACAGCAACGGCGAAACGCGGTGAAATTAGTTGTGCCACACAAGGATTGTGAAGAGTTTTATGAATGTGCAAAGGATTTGAACCGAAAGAAGAATAGATATGTTTGGAACGACACCCATGATTTGGATGTGACCGAGAGAGCTAGTCATTCACGAGAGGGAAATGCTGTGAGGATTTCAGGAAGCTCAACAAACAGCGTGTTTCAGTGTAGTTTGAAGCCGACTTATCAAATAACTTGACTGAGCTGCTTCACTGTGTTGATAACCGTTGAGAAATAAATTGAACGGTCCCATCTTTTTTGTGATAACTACTTCAATGGGAGAACAACCCCAACTGTTCGGACACCAAACCACACACAGCATGTTTTTGACTTTTGCCCTTTCCCCTTGTATCTTGCATCAAGCTTTGCTAAACACGCAGTATCTCCGAACGTTTTTTGCCACAAAAGTTGCCAACCTGCAGTAATCACAGACAGCTGTGGTTACACAAATAAACTGCAGTTAGTTCCTTGAGGACGACTCTGTCGAAAGACTAATGTCTATTTTTCTTGCTCCGGGCATGATATTTACCAAGAATATTGGCCTGGTTTCTGCCCGTAACGTCTGCAGCGTTTCATAGGTGTCAGGGCGAAACGAACCGGATACTTTCAAGTTTTTATCCTAATATCCATCAACATACTGGAAGGGATTCGGTTCGACAGGTTGATAAAGAGGTCAAAATTGACAACTCTCTACGGCATCTGAATGCAGAACGCAGCAGTCGTATGTCTTTGGAATGGAATATACTGGAGAATTCTCTTCGGTGTCTAGTTATGCTTAACTTACGATCTCCACATCGGTGGTGATAAAATATATCCCAGTCTCATCTAGGTGATATCGCACAAACAATTAGTCATTTCGGTCGTCAACATTGTTACCTGCATTTCGAAGGGTCGCCCTGGACAAAGAATTACCCCGGAAGCGTTGAGATGTTGGGACCCAACAGGTACTTCGTCGGAGGCATTCTGTCGGAGGAGCAACTTTTATCGATAAAGTTAGCGTTTAATGGTATAACGATGTGCAAGTTTACTTTTCAAACAGGACAACCACAGGACAAGTTCTACCTACTGAGAAGAATCTCGTTCTCAATTGGAACTTGATATTGTCTGAAAGGCAATATTTTGGAGCTCAATGCTGATACTGCCAAAGTCGGCGATCGGCTTTTACGTAGTCTCCCAAATCAAAGCTTACATTTAGCAATAACAGACGGTAGCATTAGAGCAGGTTGTGAAACCCGCAGTTTTGATACAAGATGCAACAGCGCCTCACAAACAGTCGTCTTAAGCCCTCAGAAAAGATAGTTATGTGCTGACGCATCAATCTTGGGATTATCTATTGTAGAGCGCACGTTAGACGTCTTTCTCAAGATGCGAAGTAGTGTGACCATTTCGTCCTTTTTCCTTTAGGACATCTAGTGTATCATTTCTCAAATTCTTTCTGAACCAGGATATGCACAGATTATCGGGACAAGTAAGCCCAATAGGTTTGGAGGCGACCGAAGAAGAATCAAATCCGGGACACAAAACTTATTCATCCTGGTTCTCCTGGTCACTGGTGCTTCAAAGTTGACTAGTTCGTGTTTCTACTCGGGTCAAAGAAGAATCAAATTTCAAGTAGATCAGAGAAAATCAAGGATAGCTTTTAGGTTTGCCATTAGAACAGAACTCAGGGATCTTCTGTTTGAAAAAAGGTTCACATTTAAAGGCACATAAACAGCTCATCACGATTAAAACCTTAGGTTCTTGCTAATTTAGCGAAGGTGGTATATTAAGAAATGGTATGAGTTCCAAGCATGATCCTGGTTATGTTCTAACTGACAAGATCCCCAAGCAAACCCAAGTACATATGTATAAGTGCAAGAAGAATCTGGTCGCAATAAATTATCTGCTGGAAGCTTGCACCATTATCCGTCACTGTTATGAATCCACACACTGCACTCGCAGTGCGGATTTTTTTGGTCGATGAAAGGTGATATCTGATGGGAAGGGTGACCAATAAAAACCAAACATACTTTCCGTGCCTCGATGCAATGAGAATTTAGGGGTTTTGAGCAGCTCTGATGGGTACCAAGTGAGCAGCAGAATTTCCGAAAAGTTAGTATTCTTGGAAGTCCATGCCAGTCTATGCCACAAACACCGGACGTTCCCGAGAACGGTGTTTCACATGTATCCTTGGTCAAATTACTGGCCAAGCTAAATCCAGTCTAGAGAAATACACTCATTTGCAAACAAATTTGGTTTTCCGAGATACTCACCTTGAACCCAGCTGAATCTCTCGTTTGTGATGTTTCCAGCCAACTGAATGTGCTGCACCAGACCACCCCATGTTTCAGTTGCTACGATATTCCTGATATTTCGATACACGTGTATTCGTAACGCGCTACCCATGAGGTTCCTGAAAATTCTTCGACAGCCCACGAAGAATTTTCAGCAAACATATGAGCAGTGAATTACGAATAAGTCTAGGCTAGTTGAGAAAATCAGACCAATATAGTTAGAAATTACGTCAGCACTGCGTATGAGGCTGTATGTTGGATGTAGGGGTCAACTAGTTAGTATGAGTTAATGACAGGACGATTACCAGCGTCTTTTATTTCACTTCGTTCACTTAGTTGATAACCTTCGCTTTAATTACATCCGCTTCTGTTCAAACGCTTTCCCACTATCCATTTGAATGCTGGAGTCGCTAATATCTCTACTCGATGGTTACGGTTCCCGAAACTCAAGGCACCCCTAGGAAGGGGTACGGTCTCTGTTAAAATCTGCTGATGCAAGCAAAACCACTTTCCGCTGGACTGTGATCAACAAAAGAGCATCATTTAGAAGTGCTTTTCCATCAACTGTCACGAATAGGGAGCCACTACATTGGACAAAAGCGAAACTGATATCAGTTTCCTGGAGATGAACAAAGCAAAGCAAAGTAAACATTAGCATGACTCACTCCGGCGGAAAGCATAATACATGGAGTCTTTTGGGGACCCAGTTGGCCCAAGTCCAAAAATTTCACCTTCTCCGTCTGTGAAGAATGGCACAACGATGGTCCCCTTTCCGTAGAACCCGAAACCCACAGCGAAATGGGATTGACATCCCCCTGCGGTTGAAGATTTGGTGTGTTTACTAGCTGCAGCATATAAGATTGGAACTGTCCATGCCATTTTCGAATGAAAGGGTCAAACAATTCGGCGAGTTGACTTTTGGCAATTACTTTGTCTTGAACGTTCACAGCTTGTGCTTCCTTGGCTGCATAGCTTTTATTGGCCATGACAAAGTAAAGCAGGCGCGAGATGGCAGCTAGCGTGCGACGATGCTTGACAGTGATAGAATCGTAGCCCAATTTTTGGTGGGAGCCTGAGTTCTTCGCTCTGGTAGAGGGCATGAGGATAGAGTTCTTTCTTGATCGACCATGGCGAGGAGCTGTTGAACTACCACCGTCCTCGATAGATTGGTTGCTGTCATCCTTAGAAATTGTGAAGAAAAGTTCAGGTGCGATGATTGTCGAGCTGAAGTATTGTCGAATCAAGCAGTGCCCTATGAACTGAACAAGATAGATTTATAAAACATAAAGAAGAATTATGGTACATATGCATTTTCATCATGATATATGAAATATGTGATGTAAATTAAATAAAATAAAGGCAATTAGCAAGCTTTTCATGCTGAGCTCACAATCTGATTACCCACTGCCCTCTGTAGACTCCTGATTGCTTAATTCTGACTGTCTTCGATTAGAAAGGGTGAACAGAAACTAAATAATCCTTGTGATGACAAGTTCGTTCTTATGGTATCCGAAGAGTTACAGCTTGTAGTAAAGTGAGTAAGGTTAGTTGAAACTTCGTAAAGTAGATGCGGTCGGTTACTGAATAACGATCCACAGTGGGTTTGTTTTGTTTCCGTCACGAAGTGAGTGGACCTTACCGTGGTGTGACGGTTTGCGCACCTCAGCGATCCATTGAGCTATACTGGAGAGTGTCCCGCGACACTCACAGAGTCTCTCATACCA